GTGTGCACTGCACCGTCGGTGCCCGGCAACCTGATACATGAGATTTGATTAAAAAAATAGTCACGAGTTCGCGTCCCGGTGCCCGGAGTTTTTAAATCCTCGCCCACACTCCCTGGCTCGGGAATACCCCCGTATAGCCTTAAAGGCGAGGACAGAAAAAAAAAAAAAAAAGTTAAAGAATAAAAAAACAACAATCATAAATTACTAATTAATGAGGCATAGGGAGGAAGGACATGTTGGTTGTTATTGTTTAACATAATGAAATAAACTAATTACTTAAAAAAGACAGTTTAAAATAAAAAAAATTTCTTGGAGCAACCTACGCCTTTGACATAAAATATTGGGACCCAAGTCATTGAAGAGTGTTATATGAAGAGCACAACCAACAAATATTGTGGAACACAATATTTTATTCACGTTTCTTGAAATTCGAAATGGCAGCCACCAAGAAATCTTTGGAGATAGATCAACAAATTACCTCTGAATACTAACATATATTTTTTTTTAACTTCATGGAAGTATTAGTTTTATTGAATGCCTTGTGAATGTCCAGAAAACAAATGGTAATATCTTGTTAATCCTAAACAAAAGTATACAGGAGTTACCTTAGTTCACTTAATTTTTCAGAAAACATCTTGGAAATTCGTATGTGATATTTGCTGTCTAATATGTAAATATGTTTTTTTAGTCACCATAGGCCTCATAACTTGTTGTAGGTAGGTAGTTAAAAACACTATAAAGAAGCTTGATGGATCTTTCTCATCTTGGAAATTCTTCAAAATTAAATTTAAGTTAGAAACAAGCTTGTAAAAACACCTCTGAAGGAACAGTATTCTTATAGTTCTTTGTAAGTTTGATAACTGAACATTCATAAAGCATTTCTATATAATATCTAGTGAAACTATTTTCTACTTACTTCAGGATCATCTTTAAACATTTAGTAATGTTAACATTTACAGGTTAACATTACATTCTCAAAATACAAAATGCCTTTGAAGTTTCACCAAACACAAAGCATGCCTTTTTTCCAAAACCAGTATTGGTGAACCGGTTTTGCAGCTTTAGACCCACTGCTTATTTACTAGGATTTTTTAAAAAATATCCACTTTCATCATTCGTGATAATTTTTTTCCAGAACCTGTCATCTTTTGGATTGTGGGCAAAATTTTCCACATATCATCTTGCTACTGGATTTGGATCTCTTTTCAAGCCATGTGGGTTGGACCTCGTTCTTAAATTCAAAGTCCAAATTGTTAAGTCAATGAACCACTTTGGAATTAGAAGCCAATCAATTATGAGTAGTTGTGGGTCCTAGTTCACACATTCAAGAAGAACTTCATTATCAATGACCGATGGACCACATTCATCTGCAGGCTCATATTGCCATTGTTGATAAGCCTGAACCAAAGTGCGGTAGTATTTCGATGGATATTTGCCTTTTTTCTTGACCACTGTTTTTTTTTATATTATGAAATTCATCAAAATCGCCTTTTGTTCCAAGGTAGAGCTGGTAAACTGGAAGGTCCATTGGTTTTAGGTAATCAGTGGATTCCATGACTATAAGTTCCTAAAAACTAGACTAATCAGCTTTTTTACATTCTACTCTACATATCCAATAAATGTTAAGCAGGAGGAGCGTGCCCAATCCAGGAGATATTAAAGGAAAATATCTAATTCAAAGAAGTAATTTGAATTGTGGTGGAGAGAGGAATGTTTTATCATTTTATCTGAGCAATAAGGTGAGTAGTACAAGAGTAAATGCTCTTGGAACCTTGAGTATCGAACTAACTCAAGCTCTTAACAGAGGTGTAACTAATGAGGACTGCGTCCCAATTCAAGGTATTTTCCTGTCCTGCCCTTTCCCTTTCAGGAAAAATAACCTATTTAACCTTATTTCCTAGACACATCTTAAAACCTGTTATCTCAAACATACTATATTCTTCCTATGAATATTCCTTAATATACCATTTTGTTTCTCTGCAAATTCTCTGCGCTTTCTTATATTTAGGTAACACTATCAATCTGGTGCTAAAAAGGAAATGCATGAGTGAGGGAAAGCCTTCCCAACTATTTAGAACATTAGATCAGTTTCACCTCAAGTTGCATAGTATTAAATAAAATATCTGGAACTGAAATTCCAACCAAATCGAAGTTTCCCGTAAAGTGCAATGTCAACCTGGATTCCTCAAGTATAAAATGTTTTGTTTTTTTTATATCACATTTGAGGGAAGTAGGAAAGGTTATTTGGTATTTTCAGAAATTGATTATTTTTCATGGAACGTTAGATAACATAATTGCTATTCTTCATCAAATAAAATAGTTGTAAGCAAAACTATTGAAATAAATAGAAAAAGGATTAAATACAGAATGTTATAAGCAAGAATGAATATATTTAAAATTAATAATTCACATAACTTTTGGTTGATCATATATATCTATATATTTACAATATTAACATATATGTCATTGAAGTTAAACCACTGAGGTTTAGTAAATAATAAAATATTGCTAAAATACTGCATTTCGATTTTCTCACTGTATAATACTATTCCTTAGGAAGTCATTTAGATATTAAAATATACTTATATCCATCTTTGAATTTCTTGGACCACTCAAAATATTATTTTCATTGAAGATTGAGCTGTGATTTTTCGATAACTATTTGTTTTGTAAATGACTTAGGGTTTTGTTAAAAAATAGTAAAACAAAGCTCTCATTTTTATTTGATGGTGGGTCCATAGAATAAATTTTAATCTTCATTATCTGGTTGGAAAAGAATGGTAACTGTCATTCCAGCTATACTTTGAGTACATGAAGAGAACAATAATACCACCAATAACAAAAATAATAAGAACATCAGAGTAAATTTTAATTATCATAATTAAAAATAATCTTCTCCGATCACCAACTTTTTTTAAATGTATCAATGCTAACTCATTTCTGTTTGAATGGCACACTGTTCTGTTAAGGGAAGCTATCATGAAGAATTCTTAATAAAGAAAAAGCTCAAATTTTAAAACACTTGAAATATCATACGTTAATTGAAATACATTTTAATAGTTTTCCTGTAATTTTAAGGGCATATTCTGAAAATTATTTAAGAAGTAGATAGAACTAAATGATAAATACAATTTTGAATAACTTAAGGATAACATATTTTGAAGTCATATAAATTCAGATTGCATAATCTGATCTTGGTATGAAAAATACCATTTATTATTTACTCTGATTGAAACCACTTAAAAAAAGTTACTGCATGACATGTGGAGGAACATATAATAAATATATACATAAACACATAACACGTACATTTATTTTACAAAAATAAATTTCAAAAATGACCAATAAAATTATTAAACTGAATCTCATTTCTGGGCAACTAATATAAAATAAATGCATATTAATACACCCACAAAAACAAATTAAAGCTCTCTCCAAAGTAGCAGTAATAATCCGTGTTTATAAATTATAATATAAAATTAAAAACAGTCATGATAACGATCACAATATACAACCTATAAATGCTTTACAATAACTTCGTTTTTTTAAATAAATAAACAATTAATGATACTACAAAATAAAAATATAATATTTTTGCATTTAAAATATCAGAATATAATTATTTACTGATCTTGACTAGGCCAATGAGTGCTGTTCACGTGGACCTCTATGCTGTGTGCTTTCTTTTAAAAAAAAAAATGTATATTTGTATATAAATTAACAGTATGCTTTATTTATATTCTGCAACAAATTTTTCATGAAATGTCTTGAAGATTTTGAGCATGTGTTTAAGTTCCTCAGGCTGCGGTAAAATAGTAGTCCTGCAATACACATTCCAAATTAATACAAATTAAACTGTAATACAACCTAAACAAGTCACTAACTAACCTAAGATCGGTTTTCAAATATTGGAGAACACTAGCATTATATGAGTTTCTAAACCATAAATTAAGCCGAGAAACCACAAAAATATTTTCATAAAGTATACCCTTATAGTAAATCATACATAATCTTACATAAAACAGTTGGACAGAAAAGATCGAAAAGTTGTTATAACTGAAAATAATTAATATCAATCTGATTACTTTTTTGTTTCATCAATGTAGTTATGCTTGTCATATTCTATTTTACATCAAATTTTAACAATTAAAAAAGGTTATAATAGGACATTGTTTTATTAATTATAATTTAGAAATTATCATTTGCCATTTACACCTCTATCTTAATTTGATCTGAAGGTCTAAGCATGCTCGTTCTTTCTCAAACAATTTTCAGCCAAAATATACAAAGGCATTGCCTAAGGTGCTTTCTTGCACTTTGTGTAAAGTAGCAGCATCAATGAAACCATGTGCCTTTCAGCTGATTTTAGCTTAAAAAAAAGAATTTCAAGCTATTAAATCTTTGTCAAGCAAATGTTTTAATGCTTTGTCATTGCTACAGCAATGTTTGCCAAAGCTACAATATAATATTTTATAACTTTTAAAATAAAGTTGATGTAAAATAAAATATGAACAAGCATAACTACATTGAAAAAAAAAAAAAACAGAAAATAATGAGATTGATACTAATTCTTATTAGTATTAATAAGTTTTCAATCTAGTGTTCATCAATCTGTATATAGTTTTTACTTCATAAAAATCTTGTCTCTTGTAATGGAAAGCAAATAACGTTACTTCAATTACAGTTAAGCGAAACAAAAATAACCTAACTCCATATGGATAACTTATCTATAAAGAATTGGCACAGAAATGCTGACAGCACAACTCCCTAATAATAGAGTACAAGTTTAAATAATATCCTTTTTTTTATATAAAAAAATCACAAAAACGAATTACATCAGATTTAGCAATATCTTTCAGAGATGATTAAAAATACAATAATTTTTTTTAAAATTTATAATCAGAAAATTCTTTAATGTCAGATAATTAAGCTATTATAACCCCTCTATACAAGTAAATTTTAAGGATACCATATTCATATCATAAACAAAATCTCTTTGTTTACCTGAAATGGTAAGTTCCTTCGACTTGACCAAAGCCTGCTCCAGGCACAACACAAACACCTGTTTGCTCCAAGAGTTCAAAACAATATAACACACTTGGGCACTGGTTCAATGCCTTAGCCTTTTCTACTGCTTTGGGAGGTATTTTTATCTGCAACAAAGTAAATATATTATAAATTATTCATAATAGTGCTATCTTCTATCTTCTAACAGGAAGTAGATTTATAAATTTAACTTACTTGGGGAAATGCATACATAGCGCCTTGGACAATATTACATGACATGCCTTCACAGGCATTGAAAGCTTCTTCTACCATTTTTGCTCTTTCTTTTAGTGAGTTTAAAACATTACTCTTCTCTCTCTCAAACAATTCATATGACGGATCACTTTCTTTTAACGGAGTGACCACACAATCCAATGTCGCCTGTTATAAACCAACGTCAATTAAATTTAACTCAGCCACAAAAGAATAAACAAACACATCAAATAATTATTTAGTATTTATAACTACTTATTGTTTTCCAACTTCATATTGTGTACTTAAAGCATGGTTAATAACTAATAATAGTGTGGACATTGTTGACTATAATTATAATTTGAGAAGAAGTTGGTTGAGTTGTGCACTCAATAATAATGGTGAGGAGCCTTTCAGTTAACAGAATGACCAACTCCAATTTCAAAATTTATATCTTTACTCACAGTTTTATATTTTAACACTGCAATTACCTACTCTAGAATCAACTTACTCACTGTCTATACAGATATTATAAATTTTTCAACTCGAAATATCACTAAAATGACTCTACTCAAAAATGCTGAAATTGGAGTGCACATATAACTCACATTCAGTGCTCAACTCAAGAGCTCATATAACACTATATCTTATAATAGTATTTGTATTATATTATCCAACAATTTCATCAGTTTCATCAGGCACTTTTTTTTATTTAATAACTTCCTACCCATCATTTCTGGCATACGGTGAGAGGGGGGGGGGAGTTGTTCTAGAGGTACAACCAAAACTATTCTAATCAGAGCGTGAGGGTCAAGTTTCATTCTGTGGATCCGCCTTGAAATAAAAGTCAACTCTTCCTAAGCTAGATTTGAACTGGTGTCGCTAGGTACAAGAATACTAAAATGGGCAACACTCTAACATGCTCGGCCATCACGACCTCGGCTTATCAGGCACTGCTGGAAGCAGTTGGGAGACTGGTCTTAGCAAATACAATAAAAATAATATTATAAGATACTAGTATTATATATTAATCACATACCACAACCAACTTCTCAAATTAATAACTGATAAATAAAGAAGTTAGAATTTGGAGCTCCTCATCACAACATCCGCAGAGAGAAACTGGTCCTTGCCTTGCCCAGCTTAAGATCGGCCATACAAGATTTACTAATCATTTCCTCTTCAAAAAACTTACAACATTAAGATATCAACATTACAATAGTACCCTCCCTATTAATAGCTCATATTTTCCAACATTGTCAGTTTTACAGTCATAACTAAAACAATGCAGGGATATTATGAAATATATTAATAGCCTTAGGGAACGACAGCAATAGACATCATAAAATAATAGCATTTCTTATTAGTGTACATTTAATAAAAAATATATCATAATAATTTTCTTTCTTCATTGTTTTCTTTTGTTACATATATTATTTACTTTTTTTTTTCTCTCTTTTGCGCCTCTACCCTCAAGGGTCATGGGTCATGGCGTTTTACTATGATTTAAATTCTTTTGTAATATTGTATTAACTTCAAAAATTCAAACAAAGTATTGACTCTTTCTTCAGTATCTTGAATGATTTCTTTTAATGTTCTGGCTAAGCCTGTTTTTTGTCTATAACTTTCAAATTTAGGACATTCTTCCAGTAAGTGTTTCACTGTTTGTGGAACGTTACTACATTTTTCACAGGTGGGCGCTTCGAGACCTCTCAGAAGGTGCTATGTGTAAACTGGCAGTGTCCTATCTTTAGTCGGCAAAGCATAACTTCTTCTTTCCTAGAACTTCTGTAGCTTGTGAGCCATTTTACAACGAATACATCAAGTTGAGTTTGTAATAGTAGTTCTTCGCTATAGATGTTTTCCAAGACAACTGTGGCTACGCCTCCCCATGTTTTTCCAGACTTTCTATCTTTTCTGTATATTTTATATCTCTGTAGTTTTACTGTTTGTTTATCATTGAGATGGGTCTCTTGTAAGCAACAACAAATCAGGTTTTCTTCAGCCATTAGTTTTCTAAAGTATTCAATGTGTCGGTATACAATTCCATTGTATTATTTTTGTCATGTTTTCTTTTTTAATAACTGTGTTGCCTGTTGATATTTTCGAGGCTTTGTTACAGAGTGTGTTCTCGACAAGGTCATTTTCATTCAGTAGTTTCAAAATTTTTGTTGTCCATATTCTGATGCCTCTATGATCAATGCGTCCTTTGATGTCTGTTAGCATCCTAATTAACCCTTTCCTGTCCATTGTGAATTGTTTTATAAGGTCTGTTGTGTTTGATGACAATTTTTCTATCTGAATTGTTTCGTACAATAAGCAAATTTCTTTAATTGGAGAGGGTAATTGTTTCCCATTAAAAATCACGAATTGGTCCATGTACATCTTTTGTGGTCGGTTTTGTTTTTCGTAGTGGATTATTTTTTACTTCAATTATTTTTTCCTTTGTACATGAATCAGTTACTTTTTTCTCTGGTGTTTTAAGAATGGCTTGTTTACCTGTTCTAAAGATTTGCGTTGTTGGTTTACTTCTTGTGGTTTTCACTGTTGTTGATGAGCAGATTTTATTTTGTTTTGGTTTAACATTGTTACTATCGTGGTTACTTTTTTCGTTGGATGTTGTGGGAGTTTCTTTTTCTGTTGCTTTATTAGTAGATAACTCACTATTTTGATTAACTATGTTGTTTTTTATAATTTCAGTTTCATTCTTAAGATTGATTTGTAAGTCAGTTGCCATTGGTTGGCAGATTTGTAAACCTGATTCGTCATCTATGTCGTCCGAGTCAGGGCAATTTGCAGCGAAGTGTCCTGGTTTTCTACAAATATAACAAAGTAAGATGTCCTCCGCTAAAAAGATCCTGTGAGAAAGACCTTCATTTTGGATTACAATTTTTTACAGGTTTTTAGATGACTGATATCATCCAGATTAATATAGATTTGTCACCTAAAGTTCATAATGTTGCTCATTTTGGGGTCCTGGTATCCTGCCTTTAAAAATGACATAGGTGAAAGTAATTTTATTCCCATTCTACTAACTTTGTTTTCTATTACATTATTTGGAATGTTAGGGCATACATTTGATATTATAATGCGTTTTGCTGGATTTACTAACCGACAAATTAGAATTAGATAGTCATCTATCATAACTTCTTTATGTCTGGATAGTAGCTTATCTACCTGCTCTCTGTTGGACAGGTGAATAAAAAAACGGTTATTTGAGATAAGTGATGCAAACTTAATTGCATGAGGTTCTACTAAGTCTGCAATTTTTTTCTAAGTATTGCTTCTGTTTAATACCTCTAATGGTTTGTAGAACAATGGTGTACTCACGGTTTGATGGTTTCTGAGTAGATATTACTTGTGCGTAAGTTGGTTGACTTATTTGTTATTCTTCTAGTGCATGGATTAGTATTTCTCCATTACTTGCGTCAGTATTTTTACTATTTTTTTTCAACGATTCCTCTACTTCTGCTACATCCTGTTCTGTAACCTCTCCATCCTTCATTTTTGCCAAGTTGCGCTTAAGGAAACGCACACTCGGTTTACCTCTTTCAATTCGATTCCGGTGAAGCTGTTTATTACAGATATGGCTATGTCTCAGCTAACTGTCCAAAAATTTGTTCCCTTTTTATGCTTATAATCCGAATATACGAAATTCAATTCCTTGAAATTATTTATAAACTTTTATGTAGAAATTTATTCCAGCTGTTAATTAATTCTTCTATTTACTTATTTATATTTTATATAATTTAGTTTTATTAATAATTTTTGGTTCATTTATCTTCTTTTTTTTTCATATTGGTTATTAACTTTTCTTTTAATTTTAAATTTTTTATCTTCTAACATTCATGATATGATTAACAGATTAAAAACAGTGAATCTGTTAATAATGATATTTGTATGCTCTTCTTGTAGACCGAAAATATAATATTGGCAAAAGCCACTTTCTAAAGAATTCTTGTAAAATACGCTCTTTTGAAAAGTAGTGAATTGTTGGATTTGGCTGTATTACAGAACACTAAAGTAATAAACAAATTTTAATTTGAAACATTAACACCTAACATATAAAGATGCAATGATAGAAAATAGATATTTACCTGCCCAATGGTGTTTGGACAAAGCATAGCTGATATTGATTTAGTAAACATCGCTTGGACATCTGGGTCTAAATTTATTACTTCAGAATATCCACCCCTAAGACCACACTCTCCCATGAAACCTTTAATAGCAATGGAAGTGTTAACATTAAAATGATAGAAATTGTAATAGTATTTATTCATAATGTTAGAAATTACTTCAAACATTATTAAGAAATCTAGCAGTGGTGATATAAATACCAATAAATGTTGTTGAGAGGATAGATATAATAATATAGTAATAAAAAATCTGAGACTAATAAAAATAGAAAATTAAAACCTCTTCAAATTGAGAAAATAGCATCAAAACAATTATTTATCAGTTTTTATTACTTACCTTTAGAACAGGACATAAACGAAGCTAATTCCATTTCACAGTAAGGTGGACCCAGTTCTGTAAGAACTTTCTTAAAGGAGAAAAATTTGCTGTTGGGATCATACACATTATGTTGGTACACCTGAAAAACATAGTCATGAATAAATAATTCTTAATGCATAGTAGTAACACAAAAGATGAAAAAAAATTAGATTAATAATATAAAGAATAGTTTTATAAAATTGTCTAACTTTATAGATTTATAATATAAGATAAATATTTCTAACCTCATCAGCTAATATAAATAGTTTTTCTTTATGAGCAAATTTAATAATCTCTTCAATGTTCTTTCGAGTAAGAACCTGACCTGTTGGATTACCAGGGTTGATGACAACAATTGCTCTTGGTTCACAGTGCTCCTTTGCTGCACTAAGAGCTCTTTCCAATTCAGCCAGGCTCAATGACCAGTTGCTTGCTTCATCCAAATAATAACCAATCTGAAAACATAAATCTGATTTAATTTACCTCATGATATTTATTAAAAACAAATTGCTGTTATTAATAAAAGTAGGAAACAAATAAAAGGAAGTGGAAACAATAAAAAAACTATTAATACTGATTTTAAATATTTCACAGTTGTTAAATATAATATTTTTAAAAATCTAAACTATGGTTCAGTGGATGAAAGATGGATGTTTAAAATTAACCACACAACCACTATGAATAATTCAATATTAACATTCTTATTTCACTTTGTAGGCATTCATTAGGAAGGAGTGCAAGGAGAACTGAAGAGGTAGGAAAAAAGACAACTCCTTCAAGAAGAGAGAAGTTGAGACAATCTAAATCACTGATAAAGGCTTACAAAGTAGACTAAAACATTAAAAATCAGCAGCTATTGTGTAATTTATTTTGAAAATGAAAGATAAATATAATCTTGTATCAAATAAATACCACTAACCTGCACCAGTAAAAATTAAAATTCATAAGACTCACAAACAAAAATTAAAAGATGGTATATTTAATAGGTATTCTAGAGGCATTACACTACTTCAAAAAGGCAATAATTAAATTTGAAAATATAACTATATCTATTTCTAGAGACCTAGCATGCCTTGGAGAAAACATCTTTAGCGAAATAGAGGGGTTGGTTTTCACAGAAGATCCATATCACTTCAATCAATGAAATGGAAGGAACATCCAGAGGGTTCCTTTTTTCACTTGTAACAGAGAAACTACACATCTTGTGATAAGGATGATCTATACAAAATTAAAGCTGATCAAGTTTTCAACAGTATTGATTGTATTCATTTTTTCACTATCTCAAATAGTTTCTAAGAAATATAAATATGCTCTTATATAATCGTTGCATGACCTGATACAAATATCCTATAATATCTAAACCCCTCCGATCCTACCTAGAACCATAACTTTCAGTAACTTTAATGGCCTTACTCGGGAAAAAATCTTACCTTCCCTGGAATCCCTAGATTGGAATATAATATATTCCTGTACCTCAATTGATTCCATGGTTGACATTCTCACCTGCAATCCTATTAATATCCTTGAAGACCATGCTCCTCTCAAAACCTTCACCTTTCGTCGCCTTCCTGCTCCTTGGATGTGTCAGAAAATTAAGGATCTTCAGAAGAGGAGTGATGCGGCCCGTAGACTGGCTGACGACTATCAAGCATTCAGGGCACTCCACAACCTGACACAAACCACAATCCGACGAGCCAAATCTACCTATTTCCATGAAGCCCTTTCATCAGCTCCCGATTCCAAATCCAAATGGCTACTCCTTCATAAACTTTCTCTTTGTGAACCTTCCAGATCCCCTTTCTCTGCAGTGCTCCCAGTTTCACCAAATGATTTAAATCCTTATTTTATATCTGCTTCCTCTTCATCTTCTCCATTTCCCTCTTCCTTATTTTCTCCTGGAACATCTTTCAATGATGACGATTTTTATTTTTCAGATATTTCTCCCACAGACCTCATATCTGCCGTGATGAAATAACACTCTAATTCTATTGGTCCAGATGGCATTCCCGTCAAATTAATCAAATTATACCTCACTGAAATCGTTCCGGTACTCCTTTTCACCTATAATTTCTCCCTTCAAAATTCGATATTCCCTTCCTTGTGGAAAAAAGCCACGGTCCGTCCTTTAGATAAAAATTCTAACCCGTCTTCCCCTCAAGATTTCCGGCCAATCTCAATCCTTTCTAACCTTTCCAAACCCCTGGAGAGAATTGTGCAATCTCAAGTTTCCAACTTCCTTGAACAGTCCAATCAACTAGACCTTTACCAATCTGGTTTCCGGCCAGATTACTCCACACAATCCGCCCTAATCAAAATCATTAATAATGTTCAGTCCGCCATAGATGACAAAAAACTAACTGTCCTTAAACTCCTTGACTTTTCCAAAGCCTTTGATACTATTAACCATTCCATTCTCTTTTCCAAATTAAAATCACTATCCTTTTCCAATAGTTCTATCCTGTGATTTCAATCTTTCCTCTCCCAATGCTCACAAGCTGTAGCTATCCCTAATCAACCCTTGTCTTCCTATCTTCATCTGTCCTCAGGAGTTGCCCAGGGCTCTAGCATATCTCCTCTCGTTTTTAGTTCTTATATCAATGACATCCATAAATCAATCCTTCACTGCTCCCATCACCTCTATGCCGATGATTCCCAAATTTACCTTTCCTTCCATCCCTCAGAGTTGCATGAAGCGTTTGCCAAAATTCAAGAAGACTTGAATCGGATCAGTGTCTGGGCAAACTTAAATGGATTGAGATTAAACACTGCAAAAACTCAAGCCATTGTCATTGGTTCCAAACCCCTTTTCAGAGCCAATACCATACCAACATTCCTATCCTATACCTAAATAACCATCCCATCACCTTCACCTTCTCAGTAAAAAACCTAGGATTTTTCATAGACCAAACCCTCTCCTAGAAACACCATATTGCTCACATTTCCCGACAGTCAATTGGTACCTTGAAACTATTCCATCGCTTCCGCCATGTCCTACCCATCTCCACACATAGACTCCTAGTATCTTCCCTCACTTTGATTACGGCTGCGTGCTGTATGGTGGCCTCTCGGCAGAACTCGGGGAGAGACTGAAAAGAATTATGAATGCCTTCGTAAGATTTGTCACAGGAACCCTGACGCATTCCTGTGTTTCGCACCACTATGCTGAATTAGGATGGCTCTTCCCTTCCTTCCGAAGACAATATTTTTTAGGCACATTCCTTTACCAAATAATCAATAATCATCGTCCGTCCTACGCATACAATCTCCTACAATTCAAATCATCTATCCACACCCTCTCCACAAGATCTCGCCCTTCCACAGATCTGCATCATTTTAACATTCCTTCGTTATCCGTTCCACTGCATTCTGGAATTCCATCCCACTAAAAATCTGCCATGCGTCATCCTTATCCACATTTAAAACCCTCTTATTCCAATTCCTCTTCACAATCCAATCAGCCGCTGGTTAAATACATATTATGTAATAAGGCTTTAATTTTCTTTAGACATTATTTTTTATTGTTTTAATCTGTGTTGAACATGAATTTTCATCACCACTCACAAAGCATTGTGAGTAGATAAAATTTATTTTTCTTAATTTCTAATTTTTCTATTCATGAGATTGTATTTCTATGAAATGTATTTTATTTTCTGAGTATCTTCAATATACTCCTCGCTATGTGTATATGTATATATGTATATTATGCTATTGTGTTAGCTCCAATATTGTAATACTGAACCTCTATTACCCTACTGTTCTCATTAATTTATCCTAAGAGCTATTATACTTAATTTATTTCTAGTATTTTGTTATTATTCATTGTAATAGATCTTTTGGCCAGATTTATGGTTAATTTATATGATCAATACTGTATTCTAAAGGGACCTAGTCCCAGAATAAAGATGATTTTTCTATTCTATTCTATTCTAATAATAACAAACAATAAATAATAAATAAACACGGGGCTTAGGCAAGGGGATGTCCTGTCACCGATACTTTTTAATGTAGTGATGGACAAAATTATGACAATATTCTGGCGAAAGGAAGAGGCAGGTGCATAGTAATAGGAACAAAGAAGGACAATGTGAAAGTAAAGTGCCTGACCTTTGTAGATGATCTAGCCCTACTAGCAGAGACAGAAGAGGAAGCCATAAAACAGGTAAACACCCTGAAAGAAATATCCGAGAAAACAGATCAGAAAACATATCTCTTATGAAAAAACAGAAATTATGACAACAGATACCAACTTCACCAAGAAAATATTGGACACAAAATATGGGAAAATAAAAGTGACCAAAAAGTTTAAATAACTAGGAGAGATAATATGTAGTAATGGAATGGATAAGGCATCAATTGAAGAAAGAATAACGAAACTGGAAAGACTGAACTTCGCCACCAGGAATGTTACAACAAGAAAAATTTGTCCTCAAATGCAAAAATAAGGCATTACTGTACAGTAGCGAGACCTGTAATATTATATGGTATGGAAACAGTCAGCCTTCCAAGCCTACAGAAAACCTGAAGATTGAGAGGAAGATTCTGAGGAGGATTCACGGACTCAAGGTAACGCAAGAGGGATACAGGCTAAAATCCAATAAAGAAATATACAGAAATTTGGAAGATTTGGAAACAGTTGCCAGGACCAGAAGATGTGAGGTTCTACGGGCACATGGTCAGGATGAATGGTGAAAGACTGAACAAAAAATTTTTTTTACGAAGTTTGCAGCTATAAAAGTATGGGGGGATATGTAAAACAAATAAAAGAGGAACTAGACAGGCTAAAAATCACGGATAAAGACTGCTTGGATAGATAGCTTTTTAGGAAAAAACTGAAAGGGATTAGGGTTCTTGTAGGTGGGAGGGAGAGACGAGGGAGACAATGGACTAAGGAGAAGCGAGAGGAACAGCCCAGGAGGATGAGAGAAAAAAAACCGGTTTGTGGAAAAAAAAAAAAAAATAATATGCTTCATTTATTCTGGGTCAAATCCCTTTAGAATAATACATAATAATATAATTGTGGGCTTTTGAGCCTCAGAGTTTTATAAAAAAGAATAGTAAAACATAAGAAATAGAAATATTAAAAAAATTATTGGTTAGCTTCTGTTATTAATGAATTAAAAAAAAAAAAAAACTAAAAAAAATGTACTTATATACAATACATATTTATAAAAAACATTGTTTACAACTGTTTGGGAATTGGATAGATAGAAATTCATTAAACAGCAGGGATCTATGAGTGGGTAGGGTATTGGAGTGACGGTTGTAAGAGGAGATGCAATTCCTTAGGGATGAAGATCGAATAATGAAAGATCTGTCAAAAGCCGTGGTTCAGTGAGCCGTTGTATATAAATCGGAAGATTGAGAATGGGTGATGAAGGAGTGAACAGAGGATTTGAATTGAAGGAGCTAAAGAAATGTATATTCTAAATTATAAAAAAAAAATTTACTTTGCATTATCTTCATTTTATAAAAAAGCCATGACTAAAGCTTTTTAATATTAAATTTTACACATATTAGTTATATTTAACTTACCAAGTGCATATCAAACTCGCTGATAGTAGCAGAATAAAGTGGATATTGAGGAATAGGCACCATGACACCAGCTTTCTTGCCATCTGTTTGACTTATCAGTAATTTCAAAACAGACTGAAAAAATTAAAGATAAATCACAATAGTAATATAAAAGATAGGATAAATAATACAAAAAAAAAACTTTCTTAAATCATTTCCACAAGCTATTTAGAAATTCATTTTTAGCAAAAGTTTTTTTATAGGTAATGTTTTTAGAGGTATCAGTTTTACTAAAAACATACATTTAACAGTATTTGAAATTGTCAATGTGCGATAATAGTTTTCAATAATTCATCAGGACAAATTAAAACCTGCTCCTTTGTCTAGATCAACCAGCATGTCAGACATGTGACAATGTTAACCTGACTGTAGAATATATATTCCAGTGCAAAAAGTACTGTAAACAACGAAGAGAACTCAAAATTGAAGCCATAGCACCTCACAAAGAAAACATGAAATCGAAAAAACGGTTAAGTTTATTAAACAAATAAAATTAATAAGTTATTTTTAAGAAGAAAGATGGCCTTGGCAGTCAATGCAACATCAAAAACCGCAACAAAACAAAATTAAAATAATGACAAAATGTCATCTGAAATAAATTTATGTTATATACAGTCCTCTGGGAATTGATTTTTCAGAGATTGCAAAAATTGCACATGTTGTGAAAAACTGAATTTTAAAACTTTAAATTTGATTTATCACAGTGAAATGGCCATTTAAGATCAACTGCCAGGAGCAAATTCATTCTCCAATATTTTACCCTAAACAATCATTTCTACTTTAGACATCATTAGAATTGAAAGTAATTTTATTATTAATAAAGAATAGTACTGGTTTATTTTATTAATTACAAAGCAGTTCTATTATATTTTGGTTCAAGTTAAGACAATACCAAATTCTGAAAAACTAATTTGTAAAAGCTATCTAGTAAAACATGAGTAAAAGTTATCTTCTGACCTTAATGGCATTCGAAGCACCATCTGCAAGAAAGATGTTCTGGAAATCTGAAGGAATGCCATCTCGGTTTGCTATGTATTCAGCACAATGCTTTCTAATGACCTCAATACCACTAGAATCAGTGTATGAACCTAAAATGATTAATCACTAGCCTTAAAAAATATAATAACCAAATCATGATTTATATTGAACAGATAATCATACCAATAGTACACTCTGTTTTTCCTTGAAGAAAACAACAATATTTGAGCTATGTGCTAGAGTTAGTATGGTTTTCTTAAAACATCTAAAATTATTAAGCGGGTAAGAAAATAAATATGTATTTGTAAGAAACACATATGAAATATATGGGTAAACAACTTTAAGAAGAACCTTTTAGGGTATATGCACCTAACAATAACCTTTTGTGATTGAAATAACAACCAACTTATAAATTGCGTGAATGTAAATGTTCAAAAAATAATTCATGATGGTTATATTTGACAAGATCAAGGTCTTAAGTTAAAAAAAAAAAAAAAATACAATTCTACCTCAAGTTGTTTGCCTATAATCTTTTGAAAGAAGAATAATAAAATTACAAGCAAGATGTTATTTCTAGCTCTTGAGCCCATATTCGAATTATACTAAAGAGTAATTTTCAGTTTAATACAAACAAAACCTTAGACATTGAGCTCATATGCATGCATAGACATATTAATTACAAATGTAAAATTTTAAAGTTATTAAATATTTTGTAATTTAAAATTTATACCAGAAAAAATATTAAAACAAATATTTGATAAAATAATTGAGTAAATATTATCTTTTCAAAGAGAAGAATTGTATAATTCAATAATCAAAATGAGAAATTGAAATAGATAAAGTTTTGATATAATTCATTCATAAGATTTAATGGACATTCATTCATAAGATTCTTTAGAATCTTATGAATGAATTTCCATGAAAGTTTTATTAAAATAAAACTATGGGGATAGCTCCTGTATGCCTGACAGTGGATCAACCGCATTTTACATATTATACAACTGTTCATTTAATAGTAGTACTCGTTGCTCAAATTTTATAACTGTAATTTATATATATTCTATAGTTCAGATTATATAATTTGTTCAATATAGTGGAAGCAGGAAAAACAAAAACAAAAAAATTCAAGTATTTATCTTAGCATTTTAATTTGTTGAGATTGAAAAATAAAACTTTACATGGTCAATAAAACGTTTTATATAATAGAAATAAATATTTGAATTATATAAAAAATAACTCACCGAGAGAAGATCCTCTACATCCAGCGAGAATGGTTCTGGCTCGTTCTTTAGCATCTTCAGGAAACTTAGGATCAGATAGTAATTCAGGATAAGCTAGAAGAGCCAGAACTTGACGAATAAAAGTAATAGGAATTTGACCAACTGCATGACAATCACCAATATTAGCTCGAATGACCCTGTCAAATGGTTTCTTCTTACCCTGTCAAAAGAATTGGCATTAGTTCATTTTTTTCACAGTCAAAAATATAAAACTGAAAAAAATATGCTTATTTTAAAAAAATCATAATCTTAATTGATATAAAGGTGTTTACTTCTTATTATACTCAAAACTATCTGCTTAAAACAATAAAAAGTACATGTACTTTATCATTGTTTTAAGTGGATAATCAATTTTCAAAAGAGCTACATGCTGTTGTTCTTTTTTCTATTTTACTGGATCTAAGATCTATTCAGGAACTTGCCCTCTATCAAAATCTGAGGTTGGCCAGCCTTGTTCTGATTCTAATTTCTTTATTTTTTTTACTAAATTTTAAAACAAGCCCCAACTATCGTATAATGCTTTTGATTGTGATAGGCATAATACAACCTAAATCATAATTCTTTTTAAGTAAATAGTACATTACTACTCCTTAACCTGTTTATAAAATATTTTTTATTCACTATCTCACATAATAAATGAAAGCATGGCAATTTGGAAAATATAAATTTGACTCACTAGTGACCTATTATTTCATTTCTTCTTGATTGGACAACAACACAAGTTACGGGAAATAAACATTATTTTCACTTCCTCATCTGGAAAGATGGTTCGCATGTAATTAAAATCTGTTGGATTTTTTGATTATCATTCACTTTTCAAATTTACTTTAATAACTCCATGACTCTTGAAGTAATGACAATCCATTTATTAAATCCAACCTTTTTGGTCACTCTTAGGGCCTATGAAATACAACAAGAGAGGATTTGGAGTCCTTTCAGATATCAAATAATCATCTACAATGCTAAGTATTTAGTCAGATGGTTTAAATATGGCTCCAATAGCATGCTTAGATACCTCTCATCACTATTTCTTAAAGAAAACTGTTTTAAGACTTTTTTTGTAAAAGTTGTTTGATGATATTTTGTTCAATTTACCTCAGATTTCTTGTCAGCGGACACTTCTCTTTAAGAAATAAATTTTAATTCTCCCTCCATGATAGACTATAAATGTTACCCATTATAGAAATAATATTTAACCATTTGTTTAAACTAAAGTAATGAATAATCACTATAACATAAAGTGTTTTGCTCACTATGTACATCTCAATTTTATTTAAATCCATGTTTGTAGATTAAATCATTTGCGCTTATATTAAATTATTTTTATCTTTTAAATGAACATAAATCTACTTTCTCAGATTATGATAATTTGAATTATTGGGAAGACTAAATGGAATTATCTAATCTTATTTATTCATTACATTCATTGTCTATTCATTATCAGCTAATTATTCAAGAAATTAATTTTACTCTTGATAATATGCACATTATTATGGATGACTAAGTTTTACAGTTATATGAGATTTGCACAAAGCATAATGTCAAGGTCATCTCAGTTCATTTATTTTATTTTGTATACCACCAGCATTTAATTAACATAACTGGCACTGGAATTCCAATTCCAAACATCAATGCTACAATATCCATAAAAACAAAAGTTTTACTGGCGTTTTTTGGTACATGGAAGTACATAAATTTTATTTTTATTGATTAAGTTTTTATTAATATTATTATTTTATTAATTTAGTATTATTTTATTAATATAAAACATTGTTTTCTATGGAATTATAAAGAATTTGCTATTGTAAAAGTGAAAAAAACAAACAATATAACAGAGGAAATGGGAGAAACAAAATAAAAAACAATGAGGAAAATAAATTATGGTAGTGGCCGAGAAATAAAAGGAAGTTGTGGATAAGAACTATCCAAAACTGGAATAATTATTACACTTGTCTATTTATTTCAATGAAGTAATTTTCATATAAATTATTTACTGGCATTTTACTATATTTATAATTAAAAAGAAGTGTTCGATAAGTAGGCTGTGTGGTGTGGAAAATGATATTATATTTGGATAATATTACTTAAGTAAATCATTACTTTCTCTCTAATCTTAATGAAACCCAATATAACCATTCAACATTGATAAGTGCAGTGCATTATAATAAAAAAGTGACAATAAAACCATACAATTAGCTCAATTTGAAAATGACTATTTCATCCAGGTGTCTTTATTGAGGGTAAATCTTCAATAAAATTAATAAAATTTACTATAAATAATTTGATTGGCCTAATACCAAAAGTGAACATCTGTCATTTTTAAAAAGTCAACAAATATTTTTTTGTAACATAGCTTCAATTTAGAACAATTCTCATGAACTTTTTACATCATTCGGCTTGAAAATTTCTAAATAAAATCATCAGAACCAGTTTGAATTGAACTTGTAAAACAAAAATTGACTTTTCCTCCACTTTCTGAAAATAACAGATGTCCGTCTTTAATATGTGGCCATTCATTTGTTTAGCTAAATCCATTATAATAAATTAAGGATACAATAAAAGACTTCAACCAACAATTATGGGGAAACTACATCACAAGATTCTAATAGACATTTAAAACTTACCCTCAATAATTAAAAGAGACAAATATAAAATGAAAAATTTGGTAGGCACATCACAGAATGAGTTATGAACCATTAAAAGAACAAAGGTATACTTTCGTAAAATCTTCCATTTGTAATTAATTAAAAAGAACAGAAAACTAAGCTTTTTTTTATTATTTTTTTTTTTGTTCTGAAGCAATATAAATTGGGTACTTCTATTTTTTGTTGATGTAAATAGAATGTAATGGCTAACTACTAATAATTAACTAACACATGAGCCAGCTAGATGATGCAAAACTTCCTCATTAAGTACTAACTAAACACAAAATAAACCTCCAATTTAAAATAATAACGCTGTTTAACTCTAAAAATACCCACGAACTACACCTACAACTGCAAGTAAAATAATATAAGAAACAAAGAAGTCGCCGAAAATGTAACCTCAATTTATTAAAATTAACGAGTTTGATTGCAATTGATATAATTCAAAGTAAGTATTTCATATTTGCAATGAAATATGAAGATAATTCAATTGATCATTGCATTATATTGAAAATCAAAACTTTCTTTAAGAAATATAACTAAATACTGGATACTTAAAAAAAATGAAATATTGCACTTATATGACAATTTTTTATTGCTCTTTTATAACACATCATATTTATTATTATTACACTAGACCATGAACATAATGTAACAGATATGAGAATAATATAAAAATAGCAGAAAAGAAAACATCAAAATCTTATCAGAAGTAAGCGATACGAGATGTAGAATTTCAATAGAATGCAATATCTTCAAACACTAATAAAATCCACAATCTTAATATATGGTTTTACAATCAGGGCTCTTGACAATTATCAACATTAATTAATAGTCTAAAGCAAAATAAAGTAAAGTTGTTTGTTACAACCTCTTAACAGGTTATAAGAAAGAAAACCTTAAATTTAGAATTAAATCTTTTGAATTTTTTTAGAAACCATTCAGGAAAAAAATATTTAGCTCTATTAAGAATATTTTACATCAAAATTCATAAATACCTCTTTCAGTTCTTTTTCTATTTCTGCAGCCCGGATAACTAGAGGTCCTCGAACTGCATATTCCATCACCTTTATAGCAGGATTCATATTTTCTAAGGTAAGACATTTCGAACACGACATTTGTGACAGCTTCTTGTGACTGATGATGGAGCACTGAGAACTTACGCGGGATAGATAAGGTCTGGTAACACCTCCCAACACCCCCTTCTCAACTGATAAAGCCAATTGCCTCAGGTTATTCATTGGTGTACGAGGTATTTATAATTCCACTACAAATTACAATGTTCCTTCTGGTTGAATTTCCTTAACCGCAAATCGCGAATATTCCACCAGGCAAACCAGTCACAGCAGCGTACAAAAATACTTTGAACCTTCTCTGCATAGATTTCTTGGCACCTACGTCAGCCAATGAAATTATCACAATCTTTAGCTGATAACACAAATTTATCTAAAGCTGAATTTACTTATCTTATTTTAAAAGAAAAAAAATACTATAATGAGGTTAATGTAGACAATTTTTCTTTCTTAAGTTCTTGGCTGTTTGCCATATTTTATTTATCCCGTTTATTATTATTTTTTAATTTATTTTTACTTTATTTCCCTTTTTAGTCAAAAACTTCCTATGTAAACACACCATCACAGCTCTTTTGTAAAATCATAATATTCCTGCCTTTTAATCTACATTTTTTTTTTACAAATTTTCATGTTCAATAAGTATTAAAGTCACAAGTACTGTCACCACTTATGAAATAAGTGTCCGTCATTTTTATTTTTCATTAAAAGTTATTACTCTAATTCAATGGAATCTTATAGATATTGAAGAACTTGAATAAACAAGAAGAAATCATGTTCACAAGATATGGCATGGTTCAATATTTTAAGTGACTTTTCATTACTTAATTTACTGATTAAGTAATGAAAAGTCACTTAAAATATTGAACCATGCCATATCTTGTGAGTAGTAGACAAGTAGATCAAATTTAATTACAATTTTTAGTAGATATTTTATTATTAGTCTCATGTATCTAGTATATAATGAATATATTATAATCACTAAAAATGAGAAAATTGTTCAGCAATATGCTATATATTTATTATTTTTAACAATTAGTGCACTATGCGTATTTTAGAAAAAAAAAAACGGAAAGAGCGATTCGCTAACCACCCGTGAAATTCTGAATCCAATGGTACCCCATTCATGGTATTTGAGCATGATAGGAGCTTATATTTGGTACAAAACCGATTTCGAACCTTACTATAATAATATATGTGGGGATAATTATCGGAGCCCAATTCATGAAAATATTTATTGAAAATATTACACAAGTTTTTGTCAAATCAGCTTTTTTTATTGTTGGAATGAGCTATGGTTTAGTTAGCGTAGACCAGAATAGCATATCAGAAGTAGGTTTTATTTTTTAAGTGCTTAGAGTGCTTAAGTGGTAACAAAGTTTTTTATTCAAGTTCCCATTGCTTAGTTTCTATTCATACAGTCCCCTGGTATTTCGAAAACCAACAGTGTCATGAGACTGGGAATTTTGATAAAAACACTACTGTTCATTTAAGTCAATATTCAGACCAGTCTATTGAGGGCATATGGAGAGAAACTACCAATCGGAAAATACTATGAAAGGATTCATTTATTCTCGAAAAAAAATGTCTCCTTTATGGGCGAGATATTCAAAACCATTTTTACTAGGCTAAAATCTTGTGGACACATGCTATTGTTAGCGTAACTTTGCTCAAAATAACTTCAACAACAAACGTTTCTTATGATCAGCATGGTCAGAAATATGATTTTCGCCATGAGGATGAATCTTTTAACAAGATTCAACAATGTTTTAGGTAATATATTTCGAAATAAAAATAATCATCTCATATCATTAACTCGATTTATTGTGTTAGGTAGAAAATCCAGAGACAGATATATTTTCCTTAAAGTTAAAAACAATCAGTGAATTTGATGATCAATTTAGTGAGAATCTATAGCATCAATTCTTTTCAATCGAGTATGTTGGTCATATATCACATATCAATCGCATTTTAAAGTAGGCAGCATGAAACCGGACACTCAAGAAAATTAGCATGTTTAAAAATCGATCGCAAATGAATGCCTTCATAAACGAGTCAAATGTGAATTAGCTTAGAAGAATGGATTCCGCAATTATGCTCTCAGCTGTACCGAGCTTACATTTATCTTTATAGTCCAATCGATAGATAAATACTGCATTATATAGAAACTAGCTGACCCGTGCGAATACTTCGCACAAACTTTATATTTGTATCAGATTTCAATAGGGCTCAGCATAAGTTCCTTTTAGTAATGAGTCTAAGCAAAGGTTTAATACTTTTATTTAGTAAGTTATCAGTTTATAAATATTATGATCTATACCGATCCATAGTTTAACCCTTGCTAGTTTCATTAAATTTATAATTATAATATTATATTTTTGTTAAGTTTACTAAAGTTTCTAAACATTTCCTTTAAATATCTGATGAAGCCTAAATACTTTGGATTTAGTTCTTTAAAAGGAACGGGTTGAGAGAGAGAGAGAGATGTTTCTTTTGTCATTAAAAATAATCAAGTAACTTTTCAAAATGATAAACATCGAATAGTTTATATATATATATATATATATATATATATATATATATATATATATAAAATATCTTATTTAAAATGAAGCATATTAACAAATATTCCAAAAATGTTTATTGGATGACATAGTTATAGCAATATAAACAAATTTCATAATTAAATTAACAAAACCAAATGTTAGTATCTTTGTAAATCAGAAAGCTGAAACTTATTATACAACAGTTTATTATATCTAAATAATTAGTGATAAGATATGTGATACATACCATATTACATTTCTCACCAGAAAAAGAATAATGCATTATTAAAAGTATTTACTAATAGTCACCTACATTGGAATAATGGATGGTGCCGTATCAACGAATCGAGACGTTACAAACTAATTCATAATTTGGGAATAACTCGGAAAGGACGCAATTTTTGGCCTATTATGCATTTGAGAATTTGAAAGTTTACTAAATTCCCTACAAAACGTACAAAAGATCATCGAAATCGGTCTATGTGGTGCAAAGATATAGCGTTCTAAACATGTAGTATTAATTCTACTTTAAAGATCTTTTTATTTTTTTTCAGTTTTTGATTATTCAAAAACTTTTAATCTATTGATGTAATAGTTATTTTCGTCAAGTTTATTTTAGTAGAATTTTAGTTTTTCATATAATCTTTAAATTTTTTCAGTGGTATTTATCAATAATGAAATTTATATCGATGAAAAAGCTTAATTTCACCCTTTTATATATATATCTATATATATATATATATATATATATTCCATGCTTGGATCATTTAAATGAATTAAAGCATGCAATAAATATACAAGGGTAAAATAAGCTTTTTCCGCGATATTATAAATTTTATTAGTAGAATATATATATATGATTTGAATTGTTACATTTCAACATTTTATCCATACTATAAAAATATGCCAAATATAAATTTGATGAAATAGAGCTCTCATGAGTAATATAAATTGAATATTTGTGTAAAAAAAAGAAAAATAAAATATTTATATCAGGCACAACTGTTATCGATTTCGACGATTTTTTTTACGTTTTGTAGAGAATTTAGTAAACTTTCAAATTCTCATATGCATAATAGGCCAAGAATTGCGTCCTTTCCGAGTTATTACCAAATTATGAATTAGTTTGTAACGTCTCGATTCGTTGATACGGCACCATCATACGGTTTGAAACCTCCCACTTTTACATTCACTTTTATTTAAGTCCAAGTATAAAATTAGGAATAAAAATTACGATTCGCGCACTCTACGTGATATTCCCTTTCTATTGATACCTCATTCGTCAAAATCCATCACTCCTAAGAGCCGGAAAAGGGATATATATTTGAGAAATAATATATAAGAAGATAAGACTATTTAACAAATACTGCGATAATAGAACAGCAGAATAACGAAAAATACAAAAGTTAAGTTTTTGTGTAAATTTGCGGAGTTATTAAATTAAATTATAATTGCCCTTTTTTGGAGAGTTGAAGTAAGATCATACATATGTTTGGAGAAATGTTAATGTCCAAACACTTTCTTTCTCATGACGTTTTTCGTAGAATGAATATCTAAAGAGTTGACTAAGAGAATAAAACATAGAGAAGATAAATACGTGAGGCAATTTTTATTAAAATAATTTGTTTATTCTAAATTAGCGTATATTGAGCACAAATATCTCGAAAACTATGCGAGATAGCGAAATAAATAATATTATCAAGACTGCTTAAAATTTTATCAGCTTTAATTTGGATATGACGTCTTTATCGCTGGGATGCATAGTTTCTCTGATTACAGCACAAACCGAAAAACGTGACCTGGGTGACATCCACTCTTGGTTCATGTCTTAGGAGTGGATACATTTGCCGTTTCACCTGTTGTTCGCTAGTTTAAGAGAGACAGACTACAACGAGTTGGTTAAACATCTAAAGAAACTGAGAATGCTTGAATAGCTTCAGTACTTGAAACACGCTCTGACGATGACCCACATGTTTGGGTTGAAACATCGGCACCAATAAAAACGTTATAATGACTGCGTCTTCAATATTTATCACCCATGATATGTAGAACAGTCGATAAACTTTCTTAAATAAATTATTTTTTACTATATTTGAGCAAATATTAATTTGAATTTACAAATATGGACTAATTCGAAGGAACTACTTCAAATAATGTGGTCTAAAATAACAAAATACATACATTTAAAAAAAAAATCTGCTTTCTCGTCTTTGTTGACTTTCATAAAATGTATTTAAAATGAAACAAAGACAGATTTACGAATTCCCGATTCGTTTGATTTTTCTGATTGAACTGGACAATGTTTAGGAATTACAGTTACAAACAGTTTGTCAAGGGAAACCCACGTCTATGCTGAAGATATGGATGAGAATCGGTGAAATCTATAATGGGCAATCTAAATTTCGTCCCTCCCATTCAATCAAAATTACATGAAATCTAAGTAAAAGCTACTGCTATCTTAGTGAAATTATAGGAGGTCTGGTGAAAGAGGACCAGATGCAAACACACAGTCCTCCATTGGAGGATGAAGAACCCGGCAAACGGAGAAGTAGCGAAGTAGGAGGAAGTTTCTTCAGTCCCAAGAAAGTTGCAAAGAGGATAGACCCTCACTTAGAAAAGAGACTGGAAATTCCTGTCTTAAATAAATATGAAATTTTAAACTCAGAAAATGATGAAATGAGTGCTGATAGTCAAAGTAACAGTAATAATCATTCCGCTAACAGTTCTCAAGTGCCTATTTCTAGACCTCCACCCATAGTTATTAGCAGCGATTACTCGCCCAACGAAATAATTCATGAGTTTAGGAAAAATAATATATACTTAAAACGCTGTTCTGATGGTCTCAGGATTTATACAGAAAACCTATCGGATCATACGAAAATTTTAACATTGTTTAAAAATAGTAATTTTGCTTTTCACACTTTTGCTCCAAAAGGGAGAGTTCGCAACACCAACAAATATTTACTACTGAACATTGATTTGACAGAGAACATGCAAAATATCCAACATGCTTTTATGGAAGGGAGTGGTATTTTGGATATGCGGCGCCTAAAAATCTTCACCAGATGGAACAAAAAACTACATATCCCCAATC